CAACAGCTGATCATCCTACCTGCCCAGTATCCAAACTGATAATTTTCATTGGGCTAGGCTTGGGGGGTGGGGGAGTGAACTTATCCCTGTCTTGGAGAGACTTGGGGGTGGGTAGTAAAAGCTGGGCGTGTAAATAGGTGCAACTGAAGTGTTTCATATTTACAAACATTCTGTGGTAGTCTACGGGGTGGGTGGGGTGTATTTATGGAAGTGGGTGTCAGGAAAATTTTCAGCCTTTGAGCTGAGCTTTCAAAAGTTTCTTCTAGGGCGCCTGGGTGGCTCAGTTCGTTAAGCGACTTCCTTCGGCTCAGGTCATGATCCTGGAGTCCCGGGATCAAGTCCCGCATCAGGCTCCCTGCTCAGCAGGGAGTCTGCTTCTCCCTCTGACCCTCTTCCCTCTCGTGCTCTCTATCTCTCATTCTCTCTCTCTCAAATAAATAAATAAAATCTTTAAAAAAAAAAAAAAGTTTCTTCTAGGTCACCAAAAAGTATCTTGAGGTGGAGGACAAGGTAATGTTAAAGGGAGGAGGGGTTAGGGGTGGGGGCAACTTGGACAGCTATCATCACCTTTATGACATTACCTCTGTCACCTCCTCCTCCTGCCTTACAGAATTAGGTGTGCCCCCTGGGGCACATAGCTATGTTTCAGCTTTGCAGTGAATGTTAAAGGTGCTCACAGGGAAGCTGGAGGTTCAAGAGAGTATGGCAGCTGCTCGCTCAACACTCAAAGGACTGCATTGCCTAGGTGAGCTAGCCATGTGTCATAGATCCATCTCCCAGGATCCAGAGCCCCTAAAACCAGATTTGCAGGCTGATGGGAAAGAACAGACTGGGTGGTTGCCAATCAGCCTGCCCTCTTCTGGGGGCATGCCTTTTGGGAAGTCCAGACTCCAACCAAGGTGGGGGTGAGAAGAGTGATCTCAGGTGGAGATTGGACGGTGAGGTTGAGAACCCACCTTCACTGTACCGGCAGATCTACCCGCTAATAAAGCTGGGTTTTTGGACCAGAGTACTCTCTTACCTGCAGTCTGCTTGAATGAGCACTGCTGGAATTTGCACCTCAAATTGCTCCTTCAGTACTATGACTAATAGGTAATCCATCTGAGTGATAATGTGTACTAAGGTTAAATAATATTTATGTTGAAGAGTGGGATTTTGCGGTCAGACCTGCTTTCCAGTGCTGGCTCTACTATGTGATTTTAGGCAAATTAACATTTTGGAGCCTTAATTATATTACTTAGGACTTTGGAGGATCATACTTTGCCACTACCTCCAAAAAGTAGTAACCTCCAAAAAGGTTACTTACAGTTTTTACAGTCTTGAGGGCTGCACCTAACTTCTATTATATTTTTTCTCCGGTTGACTCAAAATGATATGTTTTTCTATTTCCAAGTTATTGAGGGTGGGGGGATTGTGCTGCACTCTACTTTCTCATTGTTTTCCCCGTATACTGCCCTGGTTTTCAGATCAATCCCCAAGGACCTTACCCTAGGCCCATCCGCCACGCCCTGTAGATCTGGTCCAACCTCACCAGGCTACAGCCGCACTGGCTACCTTTTAGTTCCAGGGAAAGATTCTTACCCCTCTCAGGGGGTGTTGCTGAGACTTTCCTGTCTGGGATGCTGTTCCTACCCCTCTTTCCTAGCCAACTCCTGACCTCCTTTGCATAGGCTTCAGCTTGAATGTCACCTCTTCAGAAAGGACATCTTTTTCTTGTCTAACGTATGTCCCCTTCCTGGTTTCAGTTTGCTGTTTGTTCATTGCCCTTACCATACTTACAGCTGTTTTATTCCTTTGTTGCTTGCTTTAATGTTTCCCCTCCACTGGGCTGTAAGATCCATAAGGTCAGGGATCATCTCTAGCTTTTTCCAGTCTCCAGCATCTAGCCCACTGCCTAGCACGGTTGCTCTCCATACTGTGGAATGACTGAAGCCACAGGAACCACGACACTGAAATTAACAGGCAGCGCAGTGCTCTGCGGTCCGGATTTCAGCCCGCAGGAGGGAGCACTCGAACCCACTACCCGAGGCTTGATTGTGCCAGGGGAATGGTTTCCAGGGCGACAGCAAACAGGGGGCGGGGCCTCGGAACCGAGGGCCCTGCTCCCCTGAGAGGAGGCGGCGCGCAGAGGGGAGGCGGGCTCTCGCGCGCTGGGAGGGCGCGCGTGGCGAGGGGCGCATGCAGGGCCCCGGCGCGGCGCTGCTCCTGAGTGCGGGGGAGCGGGGGGTCGCGCACCAGGGCTCCGCCGCCTGGTACTGCCAAGAGGGCGGCTGCACCAGTTCTCCCGCCCCATGGCCCCGGCCTCCCGCGACACTGCCTTGGCCCGGGCCCGCCTCCGCCTGTCCCGAGGGAGTTGGCGCTGGCGGCAAAGGCCGGGCCGGCAGTCCCTCTTTGCGCCGCCTAGGCCATGCCTTCGAGTCGCTGGCCCAAGGCACCCACACCCAGAGCGCAGCGGATCTCCGCCCCCTTGGGTCCCCGCACACTCCGGCTCCGGATGATGCCCAGTCGCCGGACGGTGAGGCCCGTTGCGGCCCGCCTATCGTGGCCGGAGGTGGTTGCAAGGACGAGAAGACTTGGGGTGGAGGGAATGAGGGGTCGGGAGAGTGTGGGCATCCGGATGAAGGGTGGAGAAAGGAGTGTGGGCATCGGAGGCCGGGAGAGACGCTAGGCTGAGCCTTCAGCCTGCCCCATCCCTACTCTGCGTCTTTCTGCAGGTTCCCTTGTCCTCTGGCGAGGATTCTCCAAGCCATCTCACCACATGGGCCGGCTCAGAAACGCCAGGATCCACGTGGAGAGAGCTGTCAAGGTCGGAGGGGGGGTGGGGGGGTGTCTTGAAAGGGCCCTCAGAGTGGCTTAGCCTGCCTCCCTGAACTGTTCTTACATCCTTTAAAAACAAACGAACAAAACCAAAAACCTTGATCCCACAGCCCTCTTAAAATATTCCCAATTTTTCAATACCCGTTTGTGGCAGAATTGTCTAACTTCTTTACCTGGCATTCACCCCTTCAGCTCTTACTACTCTGGTTCCTAGACTTTCCCCATTCTCATCAGGAACCACTCTAGTCAAGGTCACTCATGACCTCCAAGGAGGCAAATCCAGCAGCCCCTTTTCTGTCCTAATCTTGGTCTGGTACCTCGTGTCATTCTACACAGCTGCCCCACATACCCTGCCCCCTTGTCTGGACACAACACCAAGTTTTCCTTTCTCCCTCCGTGGCTGCTGCTTTTTAGTTGCCTTTGAAGGCTCTTTGGAGCTTTCCTGGTTCCCTGGATCCCTCCCTGCACCTGTCTCCTTGACTGTGAGTCCAGTAAATGTGCTGTGCCCTCTAAGTGCCCTTTCCAGCCCAGTCTCTCCTCTGACTCCACACTCCTTAGATCCAGCCCCCTACTTGACATCTCCATCCAGAGAGAATTTAGAAGCATTTCAAACCCCTGCCCCAAACCATACTCTTCATTTTCCTCCCTAAACCTGTTGTTCTCCCTAATATCCCATCTTCCTCATCAACCAGTTGCTCAAGCCAGAAATATGATCTTTCTGTTCATTCACCCACACATCTAGACAGCCGCTCTATGCCCAACATGGGGCTTGAACTCACAATCCCAAGATCAAGAGTCACATACTGTACTGACTGAACCAGCCAGGCACCCTGTTCACCTACTACACATTTAATCCCATCAGCAAAACCAGTCACCTTTGTTTCCAAAACAGGTCTCTACTCTGTCACATTCTCCACATTTTCACCCTTATTTTAGCTATTGTGGTTTTTCTCCTGCACAAACCACAACAGCCTTTCCTTTTCTTTTTTCTTTTGTTTTGTTTTCTTTTCTTTTTATAACAGCTTTCTAACTGGTCTCCCTGCTTCCCTCCCCAGTCCCGTCATCTGTTCTCTGTATAGCAGCAAACCAAACTTATAAAGCCTCCAATCATATCATGCTCTGCCTTTGCCTTTATTGCTTCATGCTCCTCTTAATATAAAATCCAAGTCTGTTCAAGGCCTGCAGGGCCTTCCACAGTCTAGCTGCTACCAGCTTCCTCAGGAGCTCTCCCCTCATTTTTCACACCCCATTCTCCCTGGCTTTCTTTCAGTTTCTTCTGACCTCTGTCCAGCCTCAAGACCTTTGCACATGCGTTTCCCTCTGCCTGAACTGCCATTTGCCCAGCTCTGTACATTCATGGCTCCTTCTTATCCTTCCCATGCATGTATTTTTAGTCTGTCTGAGTCCCCATTAAGTATCCAGTTTTGGGAGGCAGCCAACCTGGATTTAAATCCTTGCTCTTTCACTTAATCACTGTGCAGCCAACTGATTCAACCTCTCTATGCCTGTTTCATAACAAGTTAAATGGGGATAACAGCATCTATTAAAAATACATATTGGGGTGCTAAGCATCTGCCTTCGGCTCAAGTCATGATCCCAGGGTCCTGGGATCAAGCCCCACATCAAACTCCCAGCTCAGCGGGAAGCCTGCTTCTCCCTCTCCCACTCCCCCTGCTTGTGCTCCCTCTTTCACCGTGTGTCTCTCTGTCAAATAAATAAAATCTATTAAAAAATACATATTATTGGGGCACCTGGGTGGTGCCTGACTCTTGGTTTCAGCTCAGGTCGTGATCTCAGGGTCGTGAGATTGAGCCCCACATTGGGCTTCGAACTCAGCACAGAATCTGCTTGAGATTCTCTCCCTTTTCCTGTGCCCCTCCCATTCATGCTCCGTCTCTGTCTCTCTCTCTAAAATAAATAAATAAATCTTTTAAAAAATACATATTATTGCTAGTAATATATATACACTAAGCAGTAAATAGTAGGTACTCAATAATTGTTAGCTATTATCATTATAATTATTACTATACATATTTATTTCTCTACTGGGTTATAATCTATTTCCCCTGCAGGAACATAAAAATTTCCTGAAGGCCGAAACCAGAACTGTCTGGTTCACCACTATATCTCGTATGTCTGGGACTTGGGTGATACTGACCAAGTATCCTTCTCTCACCTTACAGCAGAAAAAGATCTTTATGATCCAAGGCCACTACCCAGTGATACGGTGCCTCTTGCGCCGGAGAGGCTGGGTGGAAAAGAAGATGGTCCATCACTCGGGCACCACCCTGCCACCACCCCAGAACGATCTGGATAGCTCAGTAATGGGTGATAGTGACACCACTGAGGATGGTAAGCAGTTCCCTCCCTTTCCACAGGCTGCCCCCTCCTGAGTTCCTTTCCTTTGGTTCCTGCTAGCCCAGGGTTGAGACTTTGGTATGGGTCTATGGGGCAGGGACAGGGGCCTCACCAGGTCTGGGCTCTACCTCCACAGAGGATGAAGAAGGGGACGAGGCATTTCGGCCACCGCAGCTGTTTGACTTTGATGATTTACTGGAATTTGATGACCTAGATGGGACACATGCTCTGATGGTGAGGGCCCCCGCGGGGCTGGCAGGGAGGGGCTGAGAGGGAGAGCACTAGAATCCAGCTGGGTGACCTCAGAGAAGTCCTTTCCTTCTCTCGGCCTCATTTTCCCTATCTGTAGTAAAAACTGATTGCTTTCTATAAAGCCTGGATGGGCCAGCAGAGTGGTGAGGGACACAGTGGGGCTCAGACAAGGCTGGCCTGGGATCAGAACCCTGCTAGGTTATACCAGAAGCCAGTATAACCTCCACACCTTGTAATTCCCCCTTCCAAATAAAAGCCCTTTGGCTAGTGAAGGCTGGAAGGAGGGGCTTAAAAAGCTCTGAAAGAGGCTGATATGGTGATGTAGAGGTGAGGACACCTCTGTATTGAAGTGAGGACACTTGGCTTTGGATCTTGGCACCACCACTTACTAAGCTGAATGTACCAAATTGCCATTTTTGTATGTCAGGAAAGGTTGAACACTGGCAATTTCATATGGCTCAACCATGTGAGCTCTTGGACAAGTCACTTGCCCTCCTTGTGCCTCAGTTCCCCCATCTGTGAAAGGGGGATAACAGTAGCACCTACTTCACAGGGTTGTGGTGAGGATTAAGTGAATTGATATGAAAAGCACTTTAAAAGGAAGGAAGAAAGAAAAGCACTTAGAACAGGGCCTGGCACGTGGATGTCATTGCCTATTAGTAACCCTACCCTCCAGAGCTGTGGGAAGGATGGAGGAGGAAGAGCCCTGAAAGAACCTTTGTCACATGTGCTGTGCCCATCAGCTTGGAGTCCAGGTCCTGCCACTGAGCAAGTCACTGATAACCATGGGCCGAAACAAAAGTGTGGCATTCAGTTGTGTGGCTTAGTCACTGAGTAGGGAGCACCTGGCCACAGGAGTCCTGTAAGCCAGCCTGTTCTCTCCTCACAAGTGTGTGCCCTGGAGGAAGAGATGTCTTTTCTTACCATACACAAAGATGGGGTGTGGGCTAGAGGACACCTTGGAAGCATCTCCTTCCACTCACCCACCCTGCTCAGCAGGCTGGGGAGAAGGTTCCTCAGGCCTTGCTGCCCTTCCTGGCTGCCCATGCCAGTCTCCCCTGTCTCCTTGGCTCTCCCCAGTCCCGCATGGTTCGGAATGAGGTCCCCTATTTCATCTGGACCACTCGGCGGGATGTGCTGGACTGTCGCTTCCTCTCCAAGGATCAAATGATAAACCACTATGCCCGGGCTGGCTCCTTTACCACAAAGGTGGGTTCCCCAGGGGAGTGGGCATAGTAGCTTCTAACCCGCTAGCTCTTGGGCCGGCAACTCCACTCCTTGCTTTCCTTGTCAGGAAGAGAGAGTTCTTAGGAGGTAGGGAGGTGTATGATTCAGTGGGATTTGGAGTCAGGCAGGCCTGGGTTCGAATCCAACCCCTGCAGCATGCCTGGCACGTGTAGACATAGTGACTAAAATAGACTTCAGAATCCAAATAGGATCTGGAGCCAGAAAAACACCACATCCAATGACTGTAAACAAGAGAGCCCTTACCAGCTAAGCAAGGGATATCCGGCTGCTGGATCCATTCTGTCTCACCTGGGTTTATTAACAAGTGACTTCACCTCTCTGAGCCTCAGTTTCCTTGTCTTTAAATGAGAGTACCAGGAGGACCAATCCTGTAGGGTTGTGGCAAGAATGAAGGGCTTTATTATTGGAGCATGCTATTATGTTATTGGTGTAGGCTGGGAAGGCTTCCCAGAGGAGGCAGGTCTTTAAGAATGTGAAAGGGTGGCTAGGAGGGATGTGGGGCATTCTTGGCAGAGCGAACTGTGTGGGCATACACATGGGGATGGATATGAGTGAGTCAGGCCTAGCAAGTACAGCAGAGGCTCAGAGAACACTCAAGCAGGATCTCCCTGAGCTGTCTGGGTGTGTGCGAAATGTGGGGACTCCCTTAGAGGTGTCTGGGCAAGTCCCACTGTGCCCCCTCAGCAGCTAACTCCATAGGTGGGTCTATGTCTCAATCTCCGGAATTTGCCATGGTTTGATGAGGCTGATGCTGACTCCTTCTTTCCGCGCTGCTACCGCCTGGGGGCTGAGGATGACAAAAAGGCCTTCATAGGTAAGGAGATGCCAGCCCCATGCCTGGACTCCCAGGCCGAAGCATGAGGGCTAAAACCCTGGTTCATGTTAGAGAGCAAAAGCCTGTCTTTATGCCCTCATCCACTCCAGCAGATTTCCTCCTCTATCCCCTATCCTACCTTTCCCTAATGTGCCTCCCTTAATGAACTTCCTAGCTTGGTCAACCCGGACCTCCAGAAGAGCTTAGATAGCTTAGATTGCATTCTAAAGCAGGTTCTAAAAGTTGGTCAGTGGGTTGAGTTTGGAGTCCACAGTGTGTTTCAGGCCTATGTCAAATTCCATTGGCTAGATTGGGTTCCAAATCTAGAAAAGGCTCTAGACTTTGGGCTCCTAAGGTGGAATAGTTTCCAACCTCGGAACATGTTCTAAATTTAGGTCAGAATTTGTGTTCAGATTAGATGTTAGGTTTAAATTCATCTCCAAACCTGACATTGGTTTTGTGCTCAGTTCTGGTTCTCAGGCTAGAGTAAGTATCAAAAGTGGATATGGAACAGAAGGGGAAAACGAGACGACAGTTCTAGGCAAGATTCTGAAGGCAGAACATGAGCCATGTCAGATTCTAGGCCTGGTTCTACAACTGAACAGGAGCCAGGTTCTAACCCCAGAGTGTAGAGTCGGAAGGTAGTTAGGTTCCGGATCCAAAATGGGGCAGGTTATGATCAGGTTCCGGAACCAGAACAGGCTTCAAGCCTAGGGGCTGAGCAGGGTATCCCCTGCCCTGGGAGCAGAGGACTTCTGGCTGACAGCTGCCCGCAACGTTCTCAAGCTGGTGGTAAAGTCCGAATGGAAGTCATACTCTATCCAGGCAGAAGAGGAAGAGGCCCCAGGTAAGTACTCTGGTTACCTCCACTCCCCACCTATTTATCTTCTCACCCATCCATCTGTTTATTTATACATCTATCTATGTATTAGCCACATCCATCTCCTCCATCACCCCTTCCCACCCACCCATCCCTACATCTACCCACCCACTTGTCCATCTATACATCTACTCATCCATCTACCTTCCTACTGATCTGCTCCTACCCCACTGAGCTCACATTCACCTGCCCATCCATCCATCCATTCATTCATTCACCTGTCACCCCACCTGTCCTCCCACTATTGATCTACTCATGCACCTGCCTTCTCTCAGCTCCACACTCCACACTCCTTATCCATCTGTCCATGCCCCCACCTTCCTACCTACCCTCCCACAAACGCATCTACCCATTTATTCCCCTGCTTTTAGGGGTTCTCCTGTCCACCACCCATGTATCCTCCACCCCACCCACTCATCTGTTCTTCTGTCCCACCCACCCACCCACCTGTCTTCTGACCCATTTGTTAATCATCCACTGCATCATTCAGCCCTCCATGGGCCTGGCATGTGGCCGAGCACTATAGAGAGGACAGATTAAGAAGACATGGTCCATCCCTGCCTGTGGGGAGCTCACATCTCTGATGAGGAAGGAGCAGTGGAACCATGTAGTTCCATGTGGTCTGAGGACCCCTTGTGCCTTGTGGAGGGGGACACAGAGAATCCCCTACTGCATGTTGGCCCAACCTATTGCTTGCTCTTCCTTTCTGTCTCTGAACTTATTTCCTACCTCAAAGTGCCCATCCTATAATCCAAGGGCCTATCAGCCATGGATTCAGGGAAGTAAGGGGCAGCTCTACTGGATGGAGGAAAATCCCTGCCTCTTCCAGAGAGAGACCTCTCCATTGCTGTCTCCTGGGTGTGTCAGGTGCAAAGAAGACTGTTGTGTGCCAGGATCAGGGACACAAGGGCCTCAGGTGTGTCAGAGGTCCCAGGAACAGGGAGGCTGCAGATGTGTGCTGGGGCTACAGGAGCTGAGAAGTTCTGGGGCATTTAGGGTGGAACCTCAAGTGAATGACAGGCCCTGGGACAGTGGGGACCAAGTGAGCACTAGGGTCACAGGGGAATTTAGAACAAACCCTCAGGTAAGTGACAGGTCCCGGGACAGTAGGGGATACAGGTGTGTGCTGAGCCTCAGGTGTATTCAAGGTAAGGCCTCGGGTAAATGACAGGCCTTGGAGCAGTGGAGGCTGTGGCATGTATCATGTTATATGCCTTGCATGTCGCTTAGTGACAGGCCCCTTCCTATCTTCAGGAGACAAACAGCCCAAGAAACAGGAGAAAAAGCCAGTAATGGTGTCCCCAGAGTTTGTGGATGAGGCTCTTTGCGCCTGTGAGGAGCACCTTAGCAACCTGGCTCACATGGACATCGACAAGGACCTGGAGGCGCCGCTGTACCTCAGCCCTGAGGGCTGGTCCATCTTCCTCCAGCGCTACTACCAAGTGGTCCAGTGAGTACCTCTGCCCCTAGGACTGTGGGGTGCGGGCAGTTTCCCCTTGCTCGCAGGGGCTTCTGTGTTCTGAGCTGATGCATATGTAATGCAGCCCCACTCTCCTCCCCAGGCCTCCCCCTTTTGTTTGCCCTGCTGCTCCTGTTCAAGAACTCTCAGGGACTCCCACTGCCTTCACGATAGGTTCCAAACCATTCTTCCTGAATCTCAGCTTTTCATAATGACTAAGATCATGGCCTGCGCTGTCAGAGAGCCTGACTTTGCAGCTCCAGGCTCTTTGACCTTGGCAACATCACTAATCTTTCTGAGCTTTACTTTTCACATGCAAAATAGATTTTAAAATAATGTCTGCCTCAAAGGTAGGATTAGACAGGATAATCTGTGTTATGTGCGCAGCACAGACTCATAGTATTCACTCACAAAGTGAGAATGTATTAAATTGTTTAGGTTTTACCCTGAGGCCAGTGTTTCCCAAAGTGTGTTACAGAGGATGCTTAGTTCTGCAGGGCAGAAATCAATTTAATGAAAGAAAGGCTTTTGTGGTCAGTTGCATTTGGAAAACATTAGGTTAAACAAAGTTAATTCCTTGATGCCAGACTTTTCAGAACCTGTGGGTGGCGTTAACCTCCAAGAGAGATACCATGTGCATATATCCTGTAGTTAACGTGACCTCCGCCCCAGCCCCTGCCCCACCACAGGCATCCTGGGGGGCTGTATTTTCAGAACACACTTTGGGAAAAGGTTCTTGATCAGAGGAACGGAGTTGAGTCGAGACTGGGATTCGATTCAGCAGAGGTGTGCAGCAGAGAGAAAGGGAGAAGCATCCTGAAGCCAGGAGAACACCCAGCATTTATTGAGCACTTCCTATGTGCCCAGCATGGTGCCAGGCTCCAGAAATGAAGTGTCATTCCTGCCCTCAAGGGGCACACAGCTCAAGTGGGGAGGCTTGCCACAAGCCAGGTGGAAGTGCTAGGGGCCTTAGCTGGTGTGGTAATAGAAAGGAATGGGCAGGGGTGCCTAGGTGGCCCAGTCGTTAAGTGTCTGCCTTCGGCTCAGGTCATGATCCCGGGGTCCTGGGATCGAGCCCTGCGTCGCGCTCCCCGCTCTGCGGGAAGCCTGCTTCTCCCTCTCCCACTCCCTCCTGCTTGTGTTTCCTCTCTCGCTGTGTCTCTGTCAAATAAATAAAATCTTTAAAAAAAAAAAAAAGAAAGGAATGGGCAGACTTAATGATTTTGATAGGGGAGACTAAAGAACTAGTAAGTGAACTTTGAATGAATGACATACTGAGCAAACCTGCATCTTTGATAAATGATTTCATTTGTATCTTTTTTAAATGTTAGAAATTAAAAACTAGATGACCTTATACTTTCCCCTTAACTACCAGAAAAGTACCAGAAAAAGCTACCCTTCTTTTTTTTTTTTAATAATTTTTTTATTGTTATGTTAACCACCATACATTACATCATTAGTTTTTGATGCAGTGTTCCATGATTCATTGTTTGTGCATAACACCTAGTGCTCCACGCAGAATGTGCCCTCTTTAATACCCATCACCAGGCTAACCCATCCCCCCACCCCCCTCCCCAAAAGCTACCCTTCTTAAACTAAGAATTATCAAGACTGAGTTAGAACATTAAGTGTAAAGAACATGAGTCCTTTGTATTTCTAGATTGGGGCAAGTTCCAGAGGGCCATAGGCCCTCCTCAAAAGTCGGGATTACATAGAATATCACATCATATAAGGACGCCTGGCTGGCTCAGTTGGTGAAACATGTGACTCTTGGTCTTGGGGTCATGAGTTCAAGCCCCACGATGGACATGGAGCTTACTTAAAAAAAAACTTGCCTTGGGAACATTTGTCAAAAATATTTTTTAGGGGCACCTGCGTGGCTCATTCAGTTAAGCGTCTGCCTTCAGCTCGGGTCATGATCCTAGGGTCCTGGGATCGAGTCCCGCATCGGGCTCCCTGCTCAGCAGTGAGTCTGCTTCTCCCTCTGCCTCTGCCTCTCCTCCTGCTTGTTCTCCCTCTGTCAAATAAATAGATAAAATCTTAAAACAATTTTTTTAATTACATCATATGACATATATAGCGTTAAGTGGTTCACTCACAGAAGTTATAGATCATTAACTTTTGTTAATTCATTCAATATTTACCGCTGTGTTTTCAACTTTTTGAAACAAATCCATGACTCACCAGCCAGGCTTTTGTCAAGATTGACTTCCTGCAAAAACACTGATTGCTGTTTTTCTTTTTTGTTAAATCACATTGTCATATCTAATAGACTTTTTCAAATTGCACATGCCCCTGCCATCCTCATACGACACTTTCCTGGACCAAACCACAGGTTTACTGAGTAGATTCTCATGCCATGGCCCACAGAAAAGGGAGCAGGTGTGAATATTCCTAAGAGGCCTTGCCAAGCCCCCTCCATCTAGCTGCTCTCTACTCCTGGTGCTGCCTACTGTGTGCTGCTGCCTCCTCAGTATAAGAACTAGAAGTTCTTCATGGCTGGAACATTCATAAGGCTAAGAAATAAAGCAGGATTAGCATCTAAGGGAAGCTTCCTGCCCGTTCAGTCAGAGGGAGAGGAATGGGAGGGTGTGGAGGAGGCTGCCATGTGAGGTATTCCGTGACTTGGTTTAGGTCAGGACGTTTGTGTCCTGTAGGGAACAGAGTCCCTCTTTGTCCGTGAACCCTTATCTGTACAGCCCAGTGCTGAGGCGGGCAACCATTCATCCAGTCAACAGACTTTGTTGAGAGCATGTAAAAGTGCCAGGTATACTGCTGGGGGAGGGGAAACGCTAACGAACGTTCCTGCTCTTACGGAGCTTAGACTCCAGTGAAGGGAGACAGACAACAGCTAAATAAGCATAGGCGTGAGGTGGTTGGGATGAGAGACAAGCCAAGGGGCTGTGTGATACAGATGTGCTTGGAAAAAATTAGACCAGGAAGGGACCCACCTGTCAAACAGTTGCAGGTCCAGGTTTGGAGGGGAATGAACCCCCAAAAGCACCTGTGGGTGGAGGGATCAGGCAGGACAGAGTTTGCATCCTGGCTCAGACACTGAACTCAATATGTGGCCTTGGGCGAGTCCCTGAACTCTCCCAGCTTCAGTTGGCACTTCTCCAAAATGGAACCAGTAATACCTCCTTGGCAGGGTCATAGAGAGGATTAGTGATAACATATGTGAAGCCCCTGGCACCGTGCCCAGCGTGTAGTGGTGCCTCATCATCAGATGCTGGTGTGATTATATTCTGCCAAGGCAGTTTTATTGTAATAGGAGGGAGGTGGCAGAAGGTGGAGTGTTAGAGTGGGACGGTGTGTAAAATGTGGGATTTTCCCTCTTCTCTCCTATTCCAGCACTCTCAGACGGTGCCCTGGGCTGGTTACAATTTGGGGGGCAGCTTGAGGGTGGGGTGGAGGTTTGGAGGAGACCTATCTGCGTTTCTTGGGGAAAGGCATGAGCCCGGCTGGTTGAACCATGGCTGGGGGCAGGGCAGGGCTCGTGTCTCCTCTGGCCTTGTCCACCAGGCTGCCCCCAGGCCCAGCCCTGCCCATGTCCCATCATCTCCCCACAGCGAGGGGGCAGAACTCAGGCACCTCGACGCTCAGGTCCAGCGCTGTGAGGACATCCTGCAGCAGCTGCGGGCCGTGGTGCCCCAGATGGACATGGAAGGAGATCGCAACATCTGGATCGTGAAGCCAGGAGCCAAGTCCCGAGGACGAGGTGGGAGTCAGCCCCTGCTTCCTACACCAGCACCCTACAGCCTGCCTCTCCAACTAGAGGCCAGGGAGCTTAATAGTGCAGGCTGTACTGGGGCCAAACTGCCTGGGTTTGAATCCCAGCTTTGCTACTAACATGCTGTGTGACCTTGAACAAGTTACATCACCTCTCTGAATCTCAGTTCCCTCATCCTGTGAGGTGAGGATTAAATGAGGTGGTGTGTCTAAAGCTCACCATGGTGCCTGACACAGAGTAATCACCCCATAAACGTTGGCTGCTGTGACGAGTGTCATCTCCTCTCCTGCTTTCAGAATTGGGTTAATGCATTAGGTGTGTCTGGTGATACTCGTGTACAGTCGCCTGTCATCTAAGGGCTCTCTGATTTGACCAGTGCATCCTTGTGAAATAGCATGGTGTTAAGGGTATGGATGCTGAGAGCCAGACTGCATCAGGTCAGGCCCAAACTTTGCCTCCTACTATCTGTAAGATTTTGAGCAGGATAGAAAACCTCTTCTCTACCTCATTTCATCATTTGGTAAATGGAACCAATATTACCTTCTAGAGAGGATTAAGTAAGTATAATATGTGCTTTTACCTAGTAACTGCTATGTAAGTGCTACAATTTTTAGCTATTATTCTGGCTGCTCAGCCCAGTGAGTGGAATTATAACAGGAGAGCCAGCAAGTTGGGGTGCTGCATTAGCCCAGCCTAAAAAATCTGGTTAAGGACTCGCAAGATGTGGAAAACAGACTTCCAGATTCTTCCAAATACTGTTCTTGGATGAGTTTGTTCATGTCCAAGTGAAAGGTCCGGACACTGTGGGACACTCCTCTCAAGGATGTCACTTCAAAACCAGCATGTTGGTCTTTTCTTTTCCTACCTTGAAAATACTCGTGTGGTTTTCTTCCAATTATGAAAATATGTATTTATTATTAAAAAAAAAAAAAAAGAAAGAAAAGAAAGACCAGGGGTGCCTGGGTGGCTCAGTCAGTTAAGCATCTGACTCTTGGTTTTGGCTCAGGTCATGATCTCAGAGTCGTGAGATCAAGCCCCACATGGGGCTCTGTGCTGAGCGCAGAGCCTGCTTGGGATTCTCTTTCTCCCTCTCCCCTACCTCTATCTCCCCATCTGGCGTGCATGTGCACCCTCTCTTTCTCTCAAAAAAAAAAAAAAAAAAAAAAGACCAGACAATACAGACACATAGAAAGAAGAAAGCAAAAGCCGCTCTTGGTTTTACTGAGATAGCTACTGTTAACCGTTTGGTGTGTTTCTTTCTAGGCTTTCTTCTATGCATTTGAGGAGAGAGAGGGAAAAGGAGGGTGTGTGCGCACGTGTGTTTTATTTTAAACAACATATTATTCTATATCCTTTTCGCCTTTATTATATCCTTCCATATCAGTTGAGTATTACTCATTTCTTTTTTTTTAAGATTTTATTTATTTATTTGAGAGAGAGAGAATGAGAGAGAGAGAGCACATGAGAGGGGGGAGGGTCAGAGGGAGAAGCAGACTCCCCGCTGAGCAGGGAGCCCGATGCGGGACTCGATCCTGGGACTCCAGGATCATGACCTGAGCTGAAGGCAGTTGCCTAACCAACTGAGCCACCCAGGCGCCCGAGTATTACTCATTTCAATGAGTATTACTCATATGAGTATTACTCATTTCTTTTTTGCATTTTTCTTTTTCTTAACAATAAATCTTAGAGATCACTTCATTTCAATATATCTAGATCTGCCTTTTTTCCCCTGTTTTTAGCTTCTTGTTATGGACAGTCTTCCTGGTTTTTTTTTTTAAAGATTATTTATTTGAGAGAGAGAGAGAGTGCGTGCGCACATGCAGGCACGAGTGGGGGGAGGGGCAGAGGGAGAGAATCTTCAGGCAGACTCTCTGTTGAGTGCAGAGCCCAACGTGGGACCCTGGAATCATGACCTGAGCCGAAGGCAGACGCTTAACTGACTGAGCCACCCAGACGCCCCAATAAAAAAAATCTTAAAAAAAAAAAGGTCACAAGCATCATGTTCTTGGGAATCTTGGTGATCATTCTGGCCATTTGAGAAAGGCTCTGGCTTGGGAACCAGGCATAGGCTATTCTGTGCCATTAGCAGGTGATCGGGCTGCTTTGGGGACCAAAGGATGAAGGAGTGAGATTGATTTGTGAATATGTATGTTTGCCACATGACTCTGATCATTATCAGCATTAAAATGATGCCTTATAAATACAACATACTTAATGTCACTTGTTATAAAAGAGATAAAATTAAAATAAGATAACCATTTTCTACCTAGAAGAATAGCCAAAATAATCAGTAGTGTTAGGTAGGATGTGGGCAGATACATAATCTCGTACACTTTTGCTGGAAGTGCAAATTGGTAGAACATCTTGGGTAATATAAAATGAAAACATGTATATATCCCTGGAGCCAGCAAATCTACAGCTAGAAATTTGTTCTACAGATAACTAATAATAATAGTAGGAATTAACATTTGCTGAATGCTCACCGTGGGCCAAGAACTATTCTAAATCTTTAACATGTTCAGATGTATAGAATCCTATCAAAGCGAGGCATGTAGACTCTCCCATAACTTGGAAGGATAAACGTCGGACCTGGAAGCAGCAGTTGGCTGCCTCTGGGAAAGAAGTATTTTTTATTGTATACCCTTTTGTACTGCCTGCTTTTTGTTATTTTATATTCTGTTAATTATTGGGAAAAAACTAATCAAAGTCATATATGCATATGGTTTTTTAAAAAGCCCAATATGGTTTGAATTTTTATCTGTGCATATATTACTTTTCAATCAAACAGAAGTGGTTAATTAAAAAAAAGTGTTTTAATCTTCAGCAGATCCTCAGCTTTCCCAAAGGGAACAAGGTTCTGAGGGAAGCAGCCTTACCTACTTGGCCCTATCAGTTCTGTAGGGATGAGGGCTTAGGATAAGCTGTCCGTGGTCCCCTGGCCCTTCTCCTAGCCCAAGCCTGACCTGAGCCCTGACCACTCTGTTTCCCCCTTAGGCATCATGTGTATGGACCACCTGGAGGAGATGCTGAAGCTGGTAGATGGCAACCCCATGATGATGAAGGACGGCAAGTGGGTGGTACAGAAGTATATTGAACGGCCTCTGCTCATCTTTGGCACCAAATTTGACCTGAGACAGTGGTTCCTAGTGACTGACTGGAACCCACTTACCGTGTGGTTCTACCGTGACAGCTACATCCGCTTCTCCACACAGCCCTTTTCTTTGAAGAACCTTGACAAGTGAGCCATATCCCTTATCTCCTCTGAGCTCCCTGTCTAGCTTGGGAGCGGACAAGGAACAGGTGGTTCCCTAGTGCCATGTTGGGCTCCTAACACAGACTCTGCAAACAGTCAGGTCCTCCATCCATACAACAGATACCTACCAAGGGTGTTCTAAGCACCTGGGATACAGCAGTGACCAAAATAAGAGCCCAGTTCTCAAGAGTTCACATTCCCGCACATAAGCTGGGCGAGTATGAAATGTGTCTGCCCACATCCTACCCAACAATGTTGATTATTTTTGCCATTCCAAGTAGAAAATGGTTATCTTAATTTTATCTCTTTTATAATGAGTGATGTTAAGTATGTTATGTTCATAAGGCATCATTTTAATGCTCTTACTCATAGATAAGCAATGAATGTAATAAGTAAAATTATCTAATAGGTTGAAATATGGTATATGTTATATAAAAAAAAGAACATAGAGCAGAGTAAGATGGTTCAGGAGAAATGCGAAAGGAGAGAGGCAAGTTGCAGCGTTAACTCAGGGGGGTGAGAGTAAAGCCTTGTTGAGCCCTGGGTTCAAATTCCATCTCTGCAGCTGCTAAGCTGTGTGACTTTGGTCACGTGAAACCTACTGAAGCTTCATTTTTCACATCTGAAGAGTGGAGGCAGTATTATGAAACTCGTAGCTATCGGTTACTGAATGCTTCGTATGTGACAGGTGCTAAGCACTTCATGCATATTGTCTCAATCATTCATGAAAACCCGGTGAAGTGGGTCCTAGTACCACCCCCATTTTACAGATGTGAAGGAGCACTTGGGTGAAAAGATCTCACAACTAGTCGGTGGTGAAGGTAGGCCTTGAGCAGTCTTGTTTTTTGTCTCTGTTTTCGTTTTTGTTTTGAGCAGTCTTGTTGACTACAGGGCCCACACTCCTACCCACCTTCGTACCTTCCAGGCAGTGGGAGGGCTAACTGAGACTAAAGCACGTAATACTGTGTCCCCGTAGGGAGTGCTCTTAGAGGGATGGGACTCGTTCTGGCCCTAGAAGAATGTAGCAGGGCCCAGGCCTTTGTCCTTCTTGTGCTTCCCCGCAGAGCCCCATCTCAAGGTGAATGGTCTGGGATGGCCCAGGGCTGGTTCCAGGTTCTGTCTGCCCTCCCCACATTTGGGTGGGAGAGGCACAGGGAGCCAGACCCCAGCTTTCTGCTCTCTGCCCCAGCTCAGTGCACTTGTGCAACAACTCCATTCAGAAGCACCTGGAGAATTCATGCCATCGGCACCCGCTGCTACCCTCAGACAACATGTGGTCGAGCCAGAAGTTCCAGGCGCACCTGCTGGAGATGGGGGCCCCAGACGCCTGGGCCACTGTCATCGTGCCTGGCATGAAGGCTGCAGTGATCCATGCCCTGCAGACCTCCCAGGACACCGTGCAGTGTCGGAAGGCCAGCTTCGAGCTCTACGGTGCTGACTTTGTGTTTGGTGAGGACTTCCAGCCCTGGCTGATAGAGATCAATGCCAGCCCCACCATGGCCCCCTCCACTGCTGTCACTGCCCGGCTCTGTGCAGGTGTGCAAGCCGACACCCTGCGTGTGGTCATCGACCGGCGGCTAGACCGCAGCTGTGACACAGGAGCCTTCGAGCTCATCTACAAGCAGGTGAGGTGGCGCCCCCTCTTCCAGGCGGCCCTCTAGTGAAACACAGGGCACTGCAGTCAGACAGAACTGGTTCAAGTTCTGGTCCTGCCACAGTGACTCAGTACAGCCACTTCTAACCTCGAGCCTCCATTTTTCTTCATCTGTAAAATGGAGATGCCATTACCATCTTTCTCATAGGGTTTGGAAGCATGAAAAGGGGTTAATGTGTGTGGATCATCCCTACGATCCAGTCATTGCACTACTGGGTATTTACCCAAAGAATACAAAAACACTAATTTGAAGGGATACATGCACCCTATGTTTATTGCAGCATTATTTACAATGGCCAAATTATGGAAATAGCCTAAGTGTCCATCGATAGATGAATAGATAAAGAAAATGTAGTATATACAGTGGAATATTATTCAGTCATAAAAATGAAATCTTGCCTTTTCCAACAACGTGGATGGAGCTGGAGAGTATAATGCTAAGTGAAATAAGCCTGTAAGAGAAAGACAAATACCATATGATTTCACTCACATGTGGAATTTAAGAAATGAAACAAAAACGAACAAAGGGGAAAAAAAAAAAGACAAACCCCAAACCAGACTCTTAACTATAGAGAACAAACTGATAGTTACAGAGGGGAGGTGGGTGGTGGATGGGTGAAACAGGTGATGGGGATTAAGGAGGGCACTTGTGATGAGCGTGGGATGATCCATGGAAGTGTTGAATCGCTATATTGCTATGTCGTATACCTGAAACTGATATAACACTGTATGTTAACTACACTGGAATTAAAAAAAATTAATGGTAACACTAACAACAACAAAAATATACATGTGAATCATATTTCTGGAGAGTCATATAGCAAAGTGTTAAAAGCAAAACCTCCCTGGGTTCAAATTCCTGCTCAGTAATTATGAGCTGTGTGGCTTTGGACAATTTCCTGACCCCTGGGACACTCAGTTTTCTCATCTGTAAAAAGGACTGCAGATAGTCCCTACCTCATAAGGTTGTGATAATTAAGTGAGTTGACATAAGTAAAGCCCTTCAGAACAATGCCCGAACATAGTCAGTGCTGCAGGTTTTAGCTATTGTTACTACCTAATAAGGTCGTCCGGTGTTTGACGATGGCATCACATACAATGCCTGAAAATACAGTAAGAATCAGTGGAAGCTGCTGCTGCTGCTGTTGTTATTATTATTATTATTTTAATACTTTTGTAATTTACTCCCCTTGTTCCAGAAAGAGATTTGAGTCTACTTATTGGAATAGAATAAGATTTTTAAAAATCAGTCAGAAAACTAATTTCAAGGGTTTCTTTTTTTTTTTAAAGATTTTATTTATTTATTTGAGAGAGAGAGAATGAGAGATAGAGAGCACGAGAGGGCAGAGGGTCAGAGGGAGAAGCAGACTCCCTGCTGAGCAAGGAGCCCGATGCGGGACTCGATCCCGGGACTCCAGGATCATGACCCGAGCCGAAGGCAGTCGCTTAACCTACTGAGCCACCCAGGCACCCAATTTCAAGGGTTTCTGAACTCTGCAAGTAATCTCTGGTGGCAGTTAAATTAAGTATCCTAATCCTAAGTATCATTCTGATTAGGATTCAGCTTCTACCGAAGTTTGGCCACAGGTAGAGAACGTGCAGATCACATGACCCAAGTGTCCTGGTCTTTGTCACCGTTACTGTTCATAAATTAATATCGGCACTTTGGTTTCAAAAAACATAAGTGAAGGGCACCTGGGGGGCTCAGTCAGTTAAGCAGCTGCCTTCAGCTCAGGTCATGATCCCAGGGTCCTGGGACTGAGTCCCACATCGGGCTCCCTGCTCAGCGGGAAGCCTGCTTCTCCCCCTGCTTGTGCTCTCTCTTTCTGACAAATAAAATCTTAAACAAAAACAAAAACATGGGGTGCCTGGGTGGCTCACTCAGTTAAGCATCTGCCTTTTGCTAGGATCATGATCCCAGGCTCTCTGCTCAGCGGGGAGGCTGCTTCTCCCTCTGCCTGCCCGCCGCTCTGTCTGCTTCTGCATGCACTTGCTCTCCCTCTCTGTCAAATAAATAAATAAATCTTAAAAATCAAACGTAAGTGAAGAAATGTAAGGGCAGGAAAATGAGACAAAACCAAGGGAGAAGGGAATGTTCTAGCACAATGGTTCCCAAATGCGGGCTCAGAGGCCAGAATCACCTGGCAAGCTTTCCAAAGATACAGGTGTCAGGAAGCCACACCCCAGAGATTGATCTGAAATGTCTGGTTTAGGGATTATAAATCTGCATTTTTCAGATGTCCTAGTTGTGCCTCCCAAATTTTATAGCTTATTTGTTTTTGTTTTTTATAATCTTTTAAAAAATTTAATTATTTTAGAGACAGCATGAGCAGGGGGAGGGACAGAGGGAGAGAGAGAGCGAGAGATTCTCAAGCAGACTTTGCACTGAGTGTGGAGCCTAGTACGGAGCCTGATGCGGAGCTCAATCCCACAACTCCAAGACCACAACCCAAGCCCAAATCAAGAATCAGACACTCAGTGGACAGAGCCCGCCAGGCGCCCCTGTTTTTGTTTTTTAAACTAACGTGTAATCAAGATACACACTTGGCATTGAGGCAGGGTAGGAGGTACACAGGAAGCACTGGTCCATAACAACTCTGAAATCTAGCCTGGCTCATGTTTCCAGTTTTGCTATTAAGACCCATTGTTACTTACTAGGAGTTCTCCGTGGCTCTTGCTTCCATCCATTGGGATCTCAGTTCAGCCCTGAATCATCCTTCCTTTTCCATGAACATCCTCAATAGTTCTTAGTCTGTTACCTGCGCATAGAAATTTGGAGATACAAAAGCCTTTTTCATTTCATATTGTATCTGTCCCTTTCAGTTCAAGTGGATATTTGTAAAAACATTGTGGGTTTCTTAGGTATCAATTTATAATCTATTCTATTACACAAAATCCATATCCACAAATCTTAGAACTCTTCTCCCTATGAGGCTGCTGTAGGACAACAGCCCTCACAATTATAGAAGCCCTGAAGTGCCTATAACCCTCCCTGTTAAACTTAAAATGTATTAAAGATTTAAACATAAGACCTGTAGGTATGCTTTGGGATGCTTAAAAGATCTGTAGCTGCTTTAAAGGACTTAGATCTCTCTCAAGTTTTTTTTTTTTCTTTTTTTTTTTTTAAAGATTTTATTTATTTATTTGACAGAGAGAGACACAGCGAGAGAGGGAACACAAGCAGGGAGAGTGGGAGAGGGAGAAGCAGGCTTCCCACGGAGCAGGGAGCCCGATGTGGGGCTCGATCCCAAGACCCTGGGATCATGACCTGAGCCGAAGGCAGACGCTTAGCGACTGAGCCACCCAGGCGCCCCTCTGAAGTTTTTTTCTTATTGAGGTGTAATTGACATGCAGTATTATATTCACTTAAAGTATACAATATTTGTATATGTATATATTCGATATTTGTATATGTTGTGAAATGACGACCACAATAATTCTAGTTAACATCCCTTACCACACATAGTTATAATTTTATTTTCTTCTGATGAAAACTTTTAAGATCTACTCTCTTAGCAACTTTCAAATATGCAGTACAGTATTAACTATAGTTACCATGCTGTACATTACATCTATGATTTACTTTTTTTTTTAGAGAGGGAGAGAGAGAGAGCAGGGTGGGGAGGGCCAGAGGGAGAGGGAGAGATAGAATCTTAAGCAGGCTCCATGCCCAGCACGGAGCCTGACCAGGGGCTCAGTCTTATAACCCTGAGATCATGACCTGAGTCGAAATCAAGAGTCAGCCGCTTAACTGACTGAGCCACCCAGGCACTCCCGTGGTTTGCTTATTTTATAACTGGATGTTTGTACCTTTTGGCCCCCTTCATCCATTTTGCCCACTGCCTCTGGCAACTACTAATCTGTTGTCTATCTATGAGTTCAGAGTTTTGGGTTTTGTTTTTGTTTTTATTTTAGATTCCACATTTAATTTACATCATGAGATATTTGTCTTTCCTCCTGACTTATTTCACTTAGCATAATGCCCTCAAAGCCCAGCCATTTTGTCACAAATGGCAAGATTTCCTTCTGTTTTATGTCTAAATAATATTCCATGATAGCTAGCTAGCTAAACAGACAGACACATTTTCTGTATTCATTCATCCATTGATGGACACTTATGTTGCTTCCATGTCTTGGCTGTTATAAATAATACTGCCATGAACATGGGGGTGCAGATTATTTATTCAAGTTAGTAATTTTTTTCCCTTTCGGATAAATACTCAGAAGTGGAATTGGTGGATCATGTGGTAGGTTTTTTTTTTAATTTTTTGAGGAAGCTCCATACTATCTTTTTTTTTCTTAAGATTTTATTTATTTATTTGACAGTGAGAGAGGGAACACAAGCAGGGGGAGTGGGAGAGGGAGAAGCAGGCTTCCCGCGGAGCAGGGAGCCCGATGTGGGGCTCGATCCTAGTACCCCAGGATCATGACCTGAGCCGAAGGCAGATGCTTAACTGAGCCACCCAGGCACCCCTCCATACTATCTTACACAGTGGCTGCACCAATTTATATTCTCACTAACAGCTCACAAGGGTTCCCTTTTCTTCACACCCTTACCAACACTTGTTGTTTCTTACCTTTTTGAAAATAGCCATTCTAACACATGTGAGGTGATATCCCATTATGGTTTTGACTTGGATTTCCCCCATGATTAGTGATGTTGAGCACCTTTTCATGTGCCTGTTGGCCATCTGTCTGTCATCTTTTTTTTTTAAGATTTTTATTTATTTATTTGAGACAGAGAGAGACACAGCGAGAGAGGGAACACAAGCAGGGGGAGTGGGAGAGGGAGAAGCAGGCTTCCCGCTGAGCAGGGAGCCCGATGCGGCACTCGATCCCAGGACCCTGGGATCATGACCTGAGCCGAAGGCAGACGCTTAACGACTGAGCCAGCCAGGCGCCCCTCATCTGTCTGTCATCTTTGGAAAAATGTCTGTTCATATCCTCTGCCCATTTTTAAATCAGATTATTTGTGTTTTTGCCATTGAGTTGTAGGAGTTCTTTATATATTTTAGATATAAGCCCCTTATCAGATATATGATTTGCAAATATTTTCTCCTATTTGGCAGGTTGCCTTTTTACTTTGTTGATGGTTTCCTTTGTCATGCAGAAGCTTTTTAGTTAGATGTAGTCCCATGTGTTTATTTTTGCTTTTATTACCTTTTCTTTTCGTATCAAATCCAAAAAATCCTTGCGAAGACTGATGTCAAGGAGCTTAGTATTGCTTGTGTTTTCTTCTAGGAGTTTTATGGTTTCAGGTCTTAAATTCACTTTAATCCATTTTGAGTTGGTTTTTATGTGTGTTATAGATAGTGGTCTGGGTTCATTCTTTTGAATGTGGCTTCCAGTTTTCCCAGCACCATTTATTGAAGAGATTGTCCTTTCCCCATTGAATATTTACACCTCCTTTGTCATAAATTAATTCACCTTGTATGTGTGGGTTTATTTCTGGGCAGCTCTGTATTCTGTTCAATTGATCTAGGTGTCTGTTTTTATGCCAGTACCATACTGTTTGATTGCTACAGCTTTGTATTATAGTTTGAAGTCAGTGAGTGTGATGCTTCCAGCTTTGTTCTTCTTTCTCAAAATTGGTTTGGGGGCTCCTGGCTGGTTCAGTTGGTGCAGTGTATGACTCTTGATCTCAGGGTCCTGAGTTCAAGCCCCATGTTAGGTGTAGAGATGACTTAAAAATAAAAATCTTAAAAAAAATTGTTTGGACTGTGCAGGGTCTTTTGTGGTTCCATATAAGATTTAGAATTGTTTTTTCTATTTTTGCGAAAAATGCCATTGGAATTTTGAAAGAGATTGCATTGAATTTGTAGATTGCTTTGGGTCATGTGGGCATTTTAGTAACATTAATTCTAATCCATGAGCACAGAATATCTTTCCATTTATTTGTGTCTTCAGTTTTTTTCATCAGTATCTTAGTTTTCAATGTACAGGTCTTTCACTTCCTTGATTACATTTATTACAGGTTTGTATTCCTTTGGGTGCTCTTTAATCTCTTTTAATCTAGAGCAGCGGCACTGTTCCCCCCGCCCCATAGTTTGTTTGGATCTTTTGAAGGGGCCAAGCTGGTTGTTTTGTAGAACTGTCCCACATTCTGGATTTATCTGATTTTTTCTTCGTGGTGCTTTTTAGCTTGTTCTTCTGTTATCTCAATGTCCTATAAACTAAAGTTAGGCCAAACAGCTTGATGAGGTTCAGGTTAAACATTTTTGGCAAGAACACTTGAGAGGTGTTGCTGGGTGTCCCATATGGTATCACAAGGCACACACTGTTGGAGTGTCTCCTGATTAGTGATGCTAAGTCTGGCCACGGGGTTAAGGTGGTGGCTACCAGATCTCTCTATTGTAAGTTGGATCCTCCCTCTTGCGATGATCACTTACTTTGTAAAGTGATGTCTAGGCTATGTGCACATGACACATTTTCCTGTCATCCTTTTCACTGACCTGTTTTGATACCCAGTTTTGATTCTTGCCTCTTATCAGTTGGGCTTTGGGGGAGCTCTGATACTTGTATTTTTAACAAGCTCCAAGTGACTCTGATGTTTAGATAGATTCTAATCAGGATCCTTTGTTGACACAGAAAATACCTCAAAGTAGCTCAAGGTTAAAAGGGGGTCATTAGCAAGACACAGGGGGCTCTCCTGGAGCCTAGCTACAGGATGTACAGCTGGCTTAATATTGTGAAAATTGTGAAAGTCATACAGGAGCTCCTCTCTTGAACCTTTTTCTCTGCCTCCTTCTGCAGATTTGCTACTTCATTCTCTTAGTCGAATGCCTTCATTAAGGCTCTTAATTTCTGCTTCCCCATAATGGGTTCATGCAGGGCTCCAGGCAGTCCCCAAGCCTCTTATCTGTCTGGGTGACATAACTCAAATTCTGGCTTCAGAGAATCTGGCTTAACTCAGGAAGCTGTCCATCAGCAGTGGCTTGTGGGAGCAGAGCCATTCACATTCTAGCAGGGGCTGGGAGAGCTTAGGGGAGGGCAAAGGGTACGGGGTGCTGGTGGTAGCATGGCTAAGACTCCTTGACTCCACTGGGTTACTAATCCCAGGGACTCTGTGACTTTCTAGGTACTGATTCAGGCCAACGGAGCCAGACTCCGTAGAGGACAGAGGTGGGCTTCCTGTTTCTTAGCCCAGAAATTAATTCCATCCATCTTTGCCCTGATTCCTTCTGGGCCTACGATTCCAGCATCACTGTCTGAACAGGCCTCATCTCCTCTTCTTTCCCACAGCCTGCCGTGGAGGTACCCCAGTATGTGGGTATCCGGCTCCTAGTAGAGGGCTCCACCATCAAGAAGCCCCTGGCAATGTGTCACCGGCAGATGGGGGTCCGCCCAGCACTCCCTCACCTGCTGACCCAGAGAGGCTCTGGGGAAGGCAAGGACTTGGAGACCCTTACCCACAGGTCAGCTCCTAGGAAAGTTGCTGGGGCCAGGAGCCCGGGGCACACTGAGAAGCCAGCCTCCACTGCCACCACCTCGGCCCCTGGAAAGGGGAAGAAAGGCAAGGCGAAAAGTGCCACAGCCCTGGTCAACCCCAATCTCCGGAAGTGGGAACCCCCCAGCACCAGGATGGGCTGCATTTTCACCATGACCTTTGCTAGTGCGGACAGGCAACTCCACCCCTTGAACAGATTGCCATTGAGTCTGAAGAACCCCCAGGCCCTGGGTAAGACCATTCCCCCAAAACACCCCAGGGTCCCAAGGCAATTTCTTCTTGCTCTCCAAGCCCCCCCTCCTAACCACCTGGATTTGCACCCCCACCATAGCCCCACCAAAAAGACACCAGTAGCAAGGAAAAGCCACCACTTACAAAGCATTTTTTAAAAATGTGTGACCAAGTGAGTATTGTTCCCTCCAAAGTAGCCGCCCCGCAAGGCAGTTGGACTTACTTCAGATGCCAGGACTCGGTCCCAGGCCCATCTCTCTCCAGAGCCCAAGCTTTTCCTGCTGCAGTATTCTGCCTTTGCCTCCATGCAAAGTTGCCTCTGGGGGAAAGGAGCTAATGTTTGTACAGCACTTAACAGTTTGCACTCTGCCGCTACCTAACCAGCTCCTTTAGTCCTCACAACCTAGCAAGGTAGGTGCTATTATCCCCATTTTCCAGCCGAGGTATCAGGAAGTTTAAGGAAGTTGCCCGAGGTTGCACATCTCAGAAGGGGCAGAGCTGGGATGCAGGCCCAGGTCTGTTGGACTCCAAATCCTGTGTTCTTCCCACGGCCTCTGGAGGAGGAACTGGGAGGGCTCCATCTGCCACCTCACACCCCAGCCCTCATCTTCCCCCACCTCCCCACCCTCCACGCTCTCCTTGAGGGGCAGCTGGTTGGCCTTGGACCCTCCCCAGGCCCTCATGGCCCCTTTTGCTCCCACAGCCCCTTACCACTTCCCCAGCCTCCACACCAAGGCCCGGCTGTCTTCTCCCCATGTGCTCCGATCCCAGGGGCGGGTCCTCAGACTGCAACACAGCAAGTTGGTGGGCTCTAAGGCCCTGTCGACCACAGGCAAGGCCTTGATGACTCTACCTACTGCCAAGGTTTTGATTTCCTTCCCGCCTAACCCTGAGCTCAAGTTGGCATCCAGCGTCCTGAAACCAAGAAAGGTGGGCCTTGAGCTGTGACTGGCACCCTGGTGGGCAGTGCTGAATCCTGGGCTCTGGGGTCAGGGCTGGAGGGCCCAGGCAAGGGCAGGTCCCAGGCTGGCTGGAGCCCCAGGGGAAGGGCTTTTGTCCTCAGAACCCCCTTCCTGAACAGATTTTCTGATCATCTCTTCCACCTCTTCCCCCCTTTCACACCGAGGCTCTTGCTCCCCAGCGCCTTCGTGGTTCCCATCCTGGAGGTGCCCTGTGGCCTCTACCCTTCGAAGTTGGAAATCTTCCTAGCACCCACAGGAAGATCAAGGCCAAAGGCAAGTTCAAGACCAGATTCTGTGACAAACCCAAGGCTGAGGCATGCCTCATGAAGACACTGAGCCTTCCAGGACCCCTGCCCTTTATCAATGCATACCAGGGGCTAGGGGGCATGGGGGACGTGAGGCTAGAGAAGCCCTTGCTTCGGTCCTCACTGCCCCTATCCTGGATGCAACGCCAAATAAAAAGGAGCAAGTAAAGTATCCTGGGCTTGGCTCCATTTCCATTGGAGGGTGAAGAGAGGGTAGGCTGGGGCCCTATACCCCAAGGTCCAGAATGAGAGCTAGAGGCCATCAGCAACCTCTCCACAAAGCAAAGGGCCAGAATTCCACCCCCTGGCGACAGACATGGGGCTTCCTACGCAGGGACTCTCTGGCATCTCAGATCTTGGATTGGGGGATAAAGCCTCACTTTGTAGATGAAGAAACTGAGTCTGAACAAGGAGACATGGCTTGCGCAAGATCATGTGGCAGTGAGAAGGCTAGGACATATTGCCAGACTGCTCACCACTGGGAGATCCCCAAGCCCCAAGCCCAGGGGAGAACCTGGGCTGGCAGCAGAGTGACATCCAATGGGCATCAGATTTACAACGTGAGATGGGGGAAGGATGGACCTTGCCTAAACACCAGCCCTTCTCCAGAGGGAGTTGGTCTGTCCCTTCCTCAGCAAGGGGCCATGGTCGCCTAGAAAGGAAATACCCAACCAGCCACACCCATCTGAAAAACTTTGGTATTTCTTAGTTATAGTGAGTTGAATGGTAGTCTCCCCTCCCCCAAAAGATACACCTGCCTGGAACCCGTGAATAACTTTCTTTGGAAAAATGGTCTTCATAGATGTAATTAAGTTAAAGATCTTGAGATGAGAGTACTCTGGATTATCCAGGTGGGCCCTAAATCCGATGACAAGTGTCCTGGTAAGAGAAGACACAGACACCAGAAGACCACGTGAAGGTGAAGGCAGACTGATGTGATGCAGCCGTGAGTCAAAGCTTGCAGCCACCAGAAGCTGGAAGAGGCAAGGAGTCATGCCCAGAGGCTTCAGAGGACACGGCCATGTCGACACCTTCATCTCAGACTTCGGGCCTCCAAACAGATCTCTGGGAAAATCAGTTTCTGTTATTTTACGAGAGCAGTGCTCTAACCCCTGAGCTACGGAGCCTCAGTTTCTGTTATTTTAAACCACTCAAGTTGTGCTAATTTTGTTACAACAGTCCTGGGAAACTAATACACTAGTCAAGTGAAGATACATATACTCTGACCGCATCTCTTGCATAACTGAACCAGGAAATGCATACAAGCAGGTTCACACCAGTGTTGTGCTAACAGCTGAATGATGACATTAACAGTACAATGGATAAACTGGTATAGTCATGCACTGGAATTCAAACCCACCATACATCACAGATGCACTTCACGGCGTGGAACAAAAACAAATCACAAAAGAATATATATATGTATGTATGGCATGACTCCATTTATGGAAACTTCAGAATTGGGCAAAACAAAATACATTATTTAGGGATGTGTATGTATGTGGAAAAACTTAAGCAAGGAAAACTCCCATGTCAGGGGAGGGGGTTCCAACCTAGACTGAACAATAGAACCCCTTCGGGAGCTTTAAAAAAGATTGATGTCAGGATCTCCATCCCAGACTGATAAAATTGGTATCTTTGGGGTGCAGCATCCCAGGGTAGGAAGGGGCTTCCTACTTGTACTAAAGCTTCGCTGAGGGGGTTCTAATATGGGGCCAGCGTTGAGAACTGCTACCCTAACAAGGAAGGAGAGGCATGTTTCTATTTCATGCCCTGAGTGGTGGTTATATGAGTGTCACCTTGTAATTATTCTTTAAATCACAGAGCTATTTATGTACTCTTTGTATGTTTGATAAATTTCACAATTTTTTCAAGTAAAAGATCTAAGATCTTCACTTATATGAAGTCCCCAGAGTAGTCAGATTCGTAGCGACAGAGGAGAATGGCGGCTACTGGGGGCTGGGAGGAGCGGATGGGGCATCAGTGTTTAATGGGACAGAGTTTCAGTTCTTCAAGATGATGGGATGTGACGGTTGCACCACAATGTGAATGTACTTAATGCCACTGAACTGTTCACTTAAAAATGGTTAAGATGGTAAATTTTGCTATGTGTATTTTACCACAATTATACGACAACAAAAAAATCAGACATTTCCTCTCAGCTAGAACTGGGACAGAAACAGCCAAATAAAAAGACCATATATTGAACTCAGCAGAAAGCATGCTCCATGATAAACGTTTACTTTCTCAGCAAATCCTCAAAACCACACTATGAGGTAGGTACTTTTATTAACTCACGTCCAGAAAGATGAAGTCATTTGCCTGATACCGTACAGCAAATGGCCTAGCCAGGCTTTGATCTTAGGTTTGTCCGAATGCAGAGCCCAGGATCTTAAAGCATGGCCTTAGTGCATGTTGCGCACTGACCTCATTCTCCTCAAGCCTGATATCGTAGGTTCATCCTTCCGCCCCCTCCCCCTTCCCCACTGCTTTCCAGTGGAAACAGAAGGAACAGAAAGAGGACTATTGTTGGTGGAGCCCCAGGCACTGTAGGGTCCTGGAGAAATAAGGGGGCAGGGGTGCCAGAAGCTTCATGGGGGCCTCCCTGGGCCTCATGCCTGGAAGATGGAGACAATGCAGGTGGAGATGCAAGGGCAGCTGGGCAGCCTGGGCAGGGGTCAGGTGGAGGCGTCTGAGGAGGGCTTCATCCAGAACCTGAGGTGGGAGAGGCATGTCAGCATTCAGCCAGGTTGAGTTCCAACCAGCTCGCTCTAACCAAAATGGAAGTAAGGCAGGTACTTCCTCCCTCCCTCCATGTCCACAGTTTCTTATTCATTTCTTCTCTACACACACACTCACACATACTGTCACACTATGGCAGAGACTGGCTAGGCTTCACCAAATCAGTTCCCACCTGGCACACAGCTAAATATTTCTGAGTCCCTCTTGCAGTTTGGTGAGGCCATGTGATAGTTTTAGCCAATGGAACAGGACGGCAAGTATATGCCACTTCCAGACCTGGCTTGTGAAAACCTCCCACACGGACCTGCACTGCACTGTCTCCCTTCATCTGCTGGCTGGATAGCAGTGGCCTGGGTCCCTGAGTGCTTGGAGTAAAGCCCACCCCTGCCCCACCCCCATTGATTAGATTTAATGTGGAGGGAAACTATTGTGTTAAACTCTGGGACTTTGGGGTTACTCTGTTAGAGCAGACAGAGTTACCCTAACACACACACACAATTACGTTTAGCCCTTATACCAGGGACTTAAAGAACAGATTTAAAAGGGCCTTGAGACATCAGCCAGTTCAAGTCCCTTATTGAACAGATGGGCAGAAGGAGGCCTAAGAGAGGGGATGTTACTTGCTCAAGGCCACACGGTAAGACAGGACTATAGATAGCCTTGGAAGCCAAGAGGACTGCCACTCAGTCCCAGACTTCACAGCTTATGTCTGAAGGTGCTGCCCATCCTCACTCCACAGCCCACCCCCGGAAACAGCAGATAGGTGGGTGTGGGTACCTGTCTTTGGGGCTTGGTGCTCTTGGCTGGCAGTAGAAAGCGCTGGCCCAGGACAGTGCCCACACAGGCGGAGTATGTGTGATCCCCAAGCACAGGGCACAGCTGTAGTACCATGTGTACCTGCAGCTGACTGGGGAACACTGGGGGACAGGAGACAGGACAGATGGTGGGCAGCTGCTCTTTCTGTCCCACCCAGGATTATCCCTCCTCCTCTCCTCTGGGGAAACACCACCACCGCACTCCCTTCCCCAGGCATGTGGTTTCAGTGAGGTCAATGCTCCTGCCCCTGCCTCCAAGTGCAAGACCAGATCAGCACAATCATAACCATCAATCCACCTGGCCTGTGGGATTCGCTCATAAAGAGATACAACCCCGAGTTTACTGCTGAAGCTACTGGAAATAAGGAATGCTTTTTCCTGCTAGGGTATTAAACTGGTGGGGTGCAGGCCTAGAGCTGCCAGAGCCCCTGGCCATCTCTACCTTGCCCAGAGGAGAGCCTGTGGGAGGGAAAAGCCAACATGCAGGAGGCAAAAAGAAATGGAGAAAGAGCTTCCAGAGGACATCCTCTGAGCCTCTAGATCTAACGACACCTAAACTTTAAGTTATGGGAGCCAGTACATTCCCTGTTTTTGGCTTACCCCAATTTGAACAGGTTTTTGGGAAACATGACAAAGACAGGAATGGGGGGCTATGTGCTAGGCATGGTACAAAGTGCTTCACATATGTAAATTTATTTAATCCTCATGGCAGCCCAATAAGGCGGGTCCTATCATCATTCCCATCTTACACACAGAAAACTAAAGCTCAAAAAGTGACTTGCCCAGCACCACAGGCTGGGATTCAAACCCAGGAGCTGTACTCTGCTTCCATGTCTGGCAATATGGTGGACTGGATAATCTAAAAACTCTCTATAAACACCAGAAAAATATAATAATCATTCTTTCAAATATGCAGCCAGGCATAGGAAAGTAAAGTCCCCAAGACCAAAACCAATGGAAAACAAATCCACAGCACACAAGAGCCAACGTTTCATCTATTCTAGGGATGCTGCAAATCTTGGTATCCAGGGGTCTTCAGTTTAAATAGCTACCTAAGGGCCAGGGCTGAGGCCTTGGTACCCAGATAAAATCCTAGAGGGGCTGTATCTTCAGTGAAGGGGTGAACCGGGAGAAAAAGCCAGCCACCGATGAAGGCAGATGATCACCTTAGGTGTGGGCGAGGGGAATGAAGAAGTTTTCCTCTAAGAATTCACAACCATGAGCCTGATCTCACACAGGCCTGGGACCCAAATTAATACCAGAGTGATCTGTGAACTTCCAACCGAGACATTAATATTTAAGGAGATCCTGAAGCAGTGACAGCTCTGGGGCATTTGGCAGAAGCAAAGGCAAAACCTCTCCCGAGGGCCCTACCCACAGTGAGGCAACACGAGATTTCCACAGATAAAGGCCCAGCTGAACTTGAATTCACAATCCTGAATCACAGAGCAATGAAACAATCTACCGAGTGTGAGAGTCAGTATGAAACATCACAGGATTAGGCCCTCCAGAATTTCAGACAATGAAAATATAGAAATACAGTATCAGTATATTTAACCTGAACAAATAATATGAGAAAAAAATGCTATATAAGGCCATTTTTATTTGTAAAACAACCAAACAGAACTTCTAGAAGTGAAGAAAAATACAGTCAACGGATGGGCTGAACTGGCAGATTAGATCCAACTGAACAGAAAATTATTCACCTGGAAAATAGACCTAAAGAAATTACCAAGAATGCAGCAGGGATGAAGAAATGAAAATATGAAAGAAAAGAGACTTAGTAAGTAGGATGGGAAGGTCAGACACATCTCTTAGGCATTCAAAAGGAAGAGAATAGAGAAAATGCAAGAGGTGCAACATTTGAAGAGAAAGAACTTTCTCGGATTGATGAAGCATATTAACTTTCAGATTCAGGAAGCAAAGTGAATTCTAAGCAAGACAAATAAAACTAAGCCCACACACCTAGATTCAGCACAGTGAAACCACAGAACACCAAAGACAAAGAGAAGATCCTGAGACCAACAACTAAGAGAAAAAAAAAGATGGGCTACAAAGAAATGATGATCAGACTGGCAGCAGAAGCGCTGTCTCCTCTAGCTGGGCTCTACCCTTGGAATCCATCAAATGCTCCCCAAGCTGCCATTAACACCACCACCTTCCTCCCACCCCCATTGCCTCCCCCAGCCAAATACAGTCATGAAGGCTGGCCAGGGTTCCAGACCCACCTGTCAGTGGCTGCAGCTGGACCAGGGCACAGCCAGAGCCCCTGGCCACCACATGGAAGTGGCTGAGGGTCCTCTTGACACCTTCTTGGAAGTCCTTTCGGGATGGGGACTTCACTGGAATTACCTGTATTGTCAGCCCAAGAATGAACGAGCTTCACACACATCTGGAGCTACGCCCAGACCCTCTCTGCTCCTCCCAAAAGATAGAGCCAGAGTATAAGCAGTGGTCACTTGCCTATTTTAGGGGACAGGAGAGCCAGCCACCCCAAGTCTATACCCTTGACTCCTCTGTAGGGATAATATATTTGGAGAGTCCCCTCCTGTTCCCTCCCAGACCATGACTCACTAGATCAACGCCATCAGTGTGTTCCAGCTTCAGAGCGACTTGGATATGCCCCTCAGGAGAAGCTGGGACCCCATCGGTGACAGCACTGAGGAAGAGGCAGGAGGAGGTCACCGGGCGGCTTACCAGGACCCCCCTGCTGCCCCGGGAGCCTCCGGGCACCTCTCACCAGTAGGTGGCTGTGGGTCTCTGGGCTCTCCGTGAGTGGATGAAGAACTTCTGGAGGTGGCTTGCTGTCTGAGGGCAGCTGGAGAGGAGTACAAGCCCAGAGGTCTCTCTGGGGAAAGAGGATAAATCACAAAAGTTAAAGTCCCTTGGGCTCACCCACAAAAAAGGGAGACCCCTCGGAAGGAACATAGACCTGCTTAAGGCCAAACGGTCACCAGAACTATAACCCAGACTTCCTCCTGAGAAACAAGTAAGACTTGCTCATGTTTGACAATAAGACTACATAATTTAAAGAGTTTCTCATTCTCCCCTGGTCCCCAAGGAGCTAAAGCCAAATGTCGTAACAATTACCACCCACTGCTGAATGCCTACAACGCACCAGGCACTAGAGTAGGAATTTTGTGTATATTGGCTCATAAATATTTAAACTCCCCACAAGCCTATGAGTTTGTGGAATTTCAGAAATATTTCACCTCCAGTACTAGCTCTAATTGACGGCAGTTAGAGGAAAGAATATCATGGATCAACTAGCAATGCCTGCCGTGATTATGGGATTGGAGAAGTGACTGCACACTGAGCATAGGTAGGATTTGCTCTATTTTATGATTAAGGGAACTGAGGCTCAGTGAGGTTCATGCTTTTCCTAAGATCACAGTTTGTGCACATGGATTTAAACCCAGATCTGTCCGTTTCCTCCTTTTCCTTGCAACCTTCCTCTATCCCAAACCAGCCTGTGGAAAATGTCTCAGCCTATTCCCAAGCAACTGTTCCCTCACCCAAGATGGAGGCCTGTCCTGCTACCTTCCCATCACCCCCCCACCACCACCACCACCACTTACTTCCCAGATGCTTGGACAACCTGGAGCTCCCGATCTCTAAGCCCCAGGGACTGGCTCAGCTCTGGCAGCACCGAGAACAACGTCAACTCCCCTGGTTTTCCTGGGGTAAAAAAAAGGAAAAGTACAAGTTGCTCTCAGAGGCCTTTGGCTTCATGCCACCATCTCCTTCTTTTCATTATCCCGTCCCTCAGAGCCATCAAACCCTGTTCCACTGCATTCCTGCCCCGTGCCCATACCTGTCACTGGTAGACCCGGTGGCTTATTCAGTGTCACGAGAGGTCCTAGAACATACAGTATGTGAGCATCAGTGACACAAAAGCAGCAGTTAAGAGTTTATACTTTCTCAATTCAACTGGCCCCACTACAACTCTCAGACATGAATTATCAACCACACCCTAAACTGAACTTTCAGTCCTTGGCATATGCTAAGCTTGTTGCCACTTTAGGCTTTTATACTTGCTTGACTTTCCTCAGTCCCAGATTTTCACCTTTCTGGCTCTTTCATATCCTCTTGGCTCAAATGTCACTACCAGAGAGGCCTGAATCTCCAATCTAATGTCTGCCACACAGTTATAACACCCTGTCTTATTCATAGCACTGAGCAGCAGTAGGTACCTTGTTGATTTATTTCCTGGTTAATCCATTTCTCCCACTAAAACATTGGCTCCCTGAGAGCAGGAACCGTATTTACCTTGTTCAGCACTGTATAACTGGAACAGTGTCTGGAATAGAACCTATGCTCAATAAATAGCTGAGAAAATTAATAAATCACTGGAGACTCGAGCTCAAAGGAATTATTTTCCTAAAGTCACACAGTAGGCTGATTACAGAGCCTAGATCTGACTTCAAAGCCTGTGTTTTGTCCACAAATAATTTATTATAGCAATTCTTATTACCAAGTGCCTACTATGTTCAAGGATCTCTTTATTTGCACCCTCACACCCCTATGGCCATGATGCTAAGGCTCAGACAGATTATGTGGCTCATTCCAGGTCATACCACTAGTGGGAGGCAGAGCCAGGATATGACCCCCAAAGGCTTTGGTTGGGAGCCCAGTCAGCCCTCAGAAGGCTCTGAGCCGCAGGCTCCCCTCCCTGATGTCTGTGCAGCTGCCCCTCTCACCCCTCACCTTTCTGGTCCACTACGGCTGCCCTCAGCACATCAACCAGCCCCTCCCGACTGAGGTTCTCTAGCTGCAGCAGCCCCGGGAATGCCTGGTCCCCCAGGGGCCCCGACCGTTTGCTGGATCCTCGACGTCGCAGCTGATGTCTGGAAAAGGTGGGGTAAGCAACAAGGAGATCACTGTTTCCTGATGTGTGTCCATTCTTATCGCCACACACCTTAAATCCTGCCACCTCCTACAAATGCCTCAAAATGCCTGGATGAGCTTCCCGAAAATTCAGGAACAACTGGCCCCATGTTGCAGAGGAGGGAACTGAAGCTCAGAGAAACCGAGTAGTTCAGGGTCACAGAGTAGCGGCGGGATTAGCACCCACGCCTACCTAACTCCAGATCCCACACACACCTTACCCGGCCCCACCGTCCCAACCACACGAAGGGGCGGAGGGAGGCGTAATCACCCGGCTTCGGTGCCAAAGCCTGCGGCCTCGGGCGCTGCGCGGACCCCCGGCCCCCGCCGCCAGCCACCCCAGACGCGGCCCAAACCCCGACAAGCACCCATCTCCCGAACGGAGACAGTGCGCATGTGTCCAGAAGGGCCGGCCCCCTCGGCTACAGCGCGCTGATTGGTCAGATTGCCTGTCGATTGGAATAGCGAGGAGGCGGGCTCAGAGCCCTGAGAAGGCGGAGCTTCGCCTTCGCCCAGGAAGAAAAGGGTTTACTTCACGTCTGTGTTTTTGGGGAAATTGAGGCACGGAGCTGAGAAGGAATTTACTTGGGATCAGAGGACGTCTCTTAAGACAAAACAGGAACGAAAGGTTAAGGCACTCTGATTACCATTCCAATTCGTAGGAGCCTCTGACTTCAAAAAAAACCACCGTTGTGCCCAATTTTGTAAGGCAAATTGAGAAGAAGGAAAAACAAAACAAACAAACAAAAAAAGGTGCATAATCAATCCAAAAGGAGAAGGCCAGAGGGAGAATGAGATTTACTACATTATTTATCAAAACAAAAAACCAAAACAAATCTCAAAACTGGAAACACACCGGCCCAAATTAGCTCTGTAGGGGAAATAAATCTAATACGTCACCGATTCAACATTTTTTAAATGCTAACTCTATGCCAGACCCTGGCATCTTTGAGCTGGAAACACAGAAATCAACAAGACTGAGGCCCTGCCCACAAGATCACCGAGTGCACACAGATCACAGCATCACCACCCACCTTGCTAAACCCTATGCAGATGCTGAGAGGGTGAAGGGAGAGGAGCTAGTCCCAGCATGCGTTGTGATGGAAGGGTTGTGAACAACTAATAGAATTCACCAGGAGGAAAAGGTATTGGGGGGAGGGGAGACAGAGGCAGGGAACAACAGGAGAAATGAGATGTTATGTAAAAAAAAAAAAAAAAAAGAGCGAGGAACAAAATGGGTTCTACCCTATAATTACAACTATACAAAAGTTACATGCAACCTGTATATTATTTTATTTATTTACTAAGAGCACTGTAACTTTCAATTCACTGCATTAGGAAAAGAATGTAAATTAACCTAAATTCATCAACAAAGGACTGGCTAAGTGAATTGTAGCATATCCATACCACACAGCCATTAATTAAGGAATGTGTATGTCTGTAAGTGCTGATATGAAACAGTCTCCAAATATATATTAAAGAAAAGGACAGTGTGACTAGAAGATGCATATGTGTGTGTGTATGTGATTTACATATATTTATTACATTTTATGTCTGCATTTCTGAACGGACACACAAAAATGAGATGATGTTCGCTTCTGGAGAAGGGATCAGAAGTGAGAAAATGAATAATGATTTTTACCCTTTGGAATTGTGTAAGTTTTTTTTTATCTCATTGATATATTTCATCTACATGCACACATGCAAACCTGGTTTAAAAATCGAAGCCAAATATGGAAGACTGTATGATTCATCAAATGTTTTAAATAACAAAATTTTTAAAATAAAAATAAGTAGAAATACTTTTTTAAGAAAGACTATATGATTCCACTTACATGACATTTTAGAAAAAGCAAACTATATTGGTAGAAAAGAGTCAGGGGTTGCCAGGGGCTTGGGGTGGCTGGGGGATGGGGATTAGAAAGGGCATAAGGGAATTTTACAGCATGCTAGAAATGGTGGTTACATAACTTTATAGATTTGCCAAAACTGGGGCGCCTGTGTGACTCGGTCAGTTGGGCATCTGATTCTTGATTTCAGCTCAGGTCATGATCTTGGGGTCGTGGGATCAAGCCCCAATTCAGGCTTATGCTCAGTGCAGTCTGCTTGGGATTCTCTCTCCCTCTCCCTCTGCTTCTCCCCTCAAGTGTGTGTGTGCGCGTGCGCGCGCGCGTGTGTGTGCATGCTCTCTCTCCCTCTCTCTAAATAAATAAAATCTTTAAAAAAATTACCAAAAACTAAACAAAACAAAACATTGCCCAAATTAAATGTCTATGCATTAAAAGGGAAAATGTTATTGTATGTAAATTATACCTCAAGAAACTTATTTTTTTAATTCAAAGATTTAAACAATCAATTTTTTAATAGATGTACACAAATAGAGAGAGCTGGTAAGATATTTGGCAAGAATACAAGTGGTTTTTATCCTGTTTTGGGCTCAGGCAGTACTGTGCTTTGTCATAAGGCCCCACGGCGTTTTAGAAACCCTCATCTGAAAGGCCTCCTGTGCTTTCGCAAGTACCAGCTTGAGCAAAAGCGGAAAGGCTAAGGCCCAGAGGCTGGAACACAGTGCGCCTTGACTGCGCCAGACCTCTCCTCCACTATGGCACTTGGCCACAGGAGGGCCTTTCCCCCACTTGGACTGGCTTCCGGCTCTCCTGAGGTCCTATGCTCTCTGGAATTTTCCTTTCACATATCCCAGCCTCATCAAAGTCTGCCCTATCCTGTTCACTGCTGACAGCTAGTCAGTCTCCCAAGTTCCTGGAAGAAAAGAACCTAATTTTCTGTAGGCTGAGAGGGCTCGATGCCAAGAGACCCTGGTCAGTCACTTAAGACTCACTTGTGAAACTCTGAATCTTAGGAAGAGGGACGTTTGGACAAATTCCAAACTTCCGGACCCCCAGCCCAACTCAGCTTGTGAGTGACTAACTTGTGACTAACTTCACGAGAGGCAGATGGCTTACTTAAAAAAATTTAAAAAGGGGCGCCTGGGTGGCTCAGTCAGTTAGGCATCTGCCTTCGGCTCAGGTCATGATCCCAGCGTCCTGGGATCAAGCCCCAGATTGGGCTCCCTGCTCAGCGGGGGGCCTGCTTCTCCCTCTGCCTGCCACTCTTCCTACTTGTACATTCTCTCTCTGACAATAAATAAATAAATAAATAAATAAATAAATAAATAAATAAAATCCTTTTAAAAAAATTTAAAAGAAACTTAAAAAAAAAATAGGGGCTCCTGGCTGGCTCAATTTGTAGAGCATGCGACTCTTGATCTTGGGGGTGTGAGCTCAAGCCCCACATTGGGCATTGAGTGTAGCATTTACTTAAAAAAAATACATAAATGTTAAAAAGGGGGGGGCAGGTAGGCTGCAGCCTCTGCGAGTGTTGACCAGGAGGAGCTTCTATGCTGATGTAAACATGGTGCCTCCATGGGGAAGGGCTACCCCACGGAGCCAGGATAGCACTGAGCCAGGCCTCTGGCCTTAAATGCAAGAGCAGGAGAAAGCCCAGAATAGAAAGTATGTTTTTGCTAGCTCTGCAGCTCCTCCCACACATGGCCACAGGCTTGGATCAGCTGCCACCAGCAATAACTTTCCAGACTAGTTTTGGTAACACAGGACTTTGTATCTAAAACCCAAAGAGGCTTTCTATTCAGGGGCAGAAATGACATGTTTTTGAATCTGAGAATCACTCACTAAAGCACAGTCACTTACAAACTTGGCCTTTCATGCTTATCTTGTTTGAGTTGCTCTAGATCAAAAAATGTCAGCTCTCACCGATGAGAAACTAATATTCTTTGTGGCTAAGTAACAGCTCATTTTGAAATCCTGAAGTTGATAGTGCTGAACATGAAAGATAAGCTTCTGGCAAGCTAGGGAGAGCGTTGACGGAGGGTTGTGTTATGGCCTGGCGAGTCCTTTCCCACCTAAACACTTAAAAGGTTGTAATAAAATGTAACACTGAGAAATTAGAAGAGTGCCTTAGTCCTACCCTGCCATTCAAAGTCCTCCTGGTAGGCAGATTTAATTGTCCTTTATTGTATTGATTACATGGTCTGCTCAAGTCTCTGATTGAGCAGACATTAGCTCCAGAATCAAATTTTTTTTTTTGTTGGTAGAAATAGTCCTGTTTCCTGTAACCCCACATTTTGAAAAATGGTTTGACAACAGATTCCTCTCTTCCCTTACACCTTTCCAACCTTCCAGCCAGAGCCCCACCCTCACCCCCAAAGAACACAAGCAAAAATGTGTCAGCATAAATAATGTAATGTGAGCTCTCTAATATCATACACTAGTGGGCTTGGTGGTTCACAAAGGAGTATTAGGGCTGGGAGGCCAGGAGGTGGGGAGCATATGAAGACAGTAGCTGAGGGGCAGACTTCGTGCCTAGCCTGCTGGTGACCTTTCTTGGTCAGCTAAGCTACCCTGGACAGGAAGGAGCTGGGCCAAGCTAAGAACCCTCAGGTTTCTAGCCTTTCCCCCTGGGAAGGCTTCTTCCTTCATGGTCCATGGGTGAGGAAGGTGTGGCGAGGTAAGACGTGTCTAGCTGCCAGTTTGTGGTGCTACTAGCTGAGCATGGGGGCCACAGTCTAGTCTTTGCCTGGGGAGTGCCTCTAAGGACTGGAGCCTTCACTGCAGTATCTTTAGACAGGTCGGGATGAGTGATCGGGCCTTGCCCTCAGCGGGCTGCCCTCCCTCTGTGGCATCCAGGAGCTGCTGCATATAACAGGAGGTGCCAAGCAGCACATGGCCTGTGGTCTGCATGCTGAAGAGGACCCAACGAAGAACTTCCCTGGGTGGAAGAAAAAGACACTAGAGTCAAAACACAAAGAAAATCCTTCCCTGCATCCTCTAAATGCCTCCCCCTCCATAATTTCAGAAACCATAGAGTGGTGTGTCAACAGGAATGGATGCTGCCCTCCTTCAGCAAATGGGAAAGGGTCTACAGGCATTGCCTGCCATTGTATTTTCATTGAGATGTCCATAACCTCGCTATTTTCTCATGCAAAGTTCAAACTCATTTAATAAAACCTTTACTTTTTGTAAAAGTACTACTTTTGGCCAGCCACATTAATCTCCATACCATGGCGCTGTCCTTCATGACCTCTGTTCTAGATGCTGAGGCCTTTCCAAGTCATGTGTGGTCTAGTTAATTTTCAGGGCGCTGAACATGAAGATCCCCCATGCCCTGTGTTGCAACGTACTGAGAATAGGACTTGAATCAGATAGGCCAGAGTTCTAATCGGATCTTCTTGGCTGTGTGAAGCTTGGCCAACTACTAGATTTCTGAGCGTCTGCTTTCCCATCCATCAAATAAGATCATTACCATTTTGATGGCTCACAGGGTTATGAGGTTGAAACAACATAAGGTCACTTCACTGGGAGCCTAATCGGTAGAAGAGT